TAGACGAAAATGTTCAATGAAAAAAGGAGAAACTTTTGTGTCTGCAGTATTTTCACATAACCTCCAATTTTCCTAGAAAAACCGGAAAAACTGTTTTTATCGTTTTTTATTCTTATTTTTGCGTAAAAGTCGTAGTGGTTTGAAATTTGGAGCAAATAGCATAGCATAGATAAAAAGGAGACAATTTTTTGGGCCCGTAAAGTTGAACCGTTTCCAAGATCTCACAATTTCTGAAAAAAACCACTTCTTTTCAAGGGGACGAAAAATATATTTTTTTCATCGTAAGGACATTTTAATTCAAAAATAAAAAATATTATTCCAATAGAAAAATTTTAAGAAAAGGGGCAAAAACTTTGGAACAGTTTTAAGATATACACTGTTTTTGACATTGTAGGTAAATAGCTTTTTTTGCAACAAAATTAACATATTGGATCCCCGCTAATAAAAAGGTTTTGAAATCTGTTTCTCTCTTTTCTTTAATGTTGCTAAAATAAATTATGGAATACCTGAATACCACTTTTTTAGGAGGAGCACCTACTACAATTCAATAAAATACTATAACCATCTTCCAGAAAGTATTGTAACGGAACCGCTCCAGACATGACGTCGCCTTTGGCGCTCTGGAATTTTCTACGCGCGCGATAGTGGATTTGTGTAGGAATATTCGAGACTGTACGCGAATGTGCTGGACTTACATTGCTTGCGTGTATAAATGGTTGCGGACCGAACATCGCGGCAGTTTTACTACCGAACGAGATCGAGCGCGGAAATATAAATTGCGAAGTGTGTGATATAAATAATCGATATAAATTGTACGGTTTTTATAGTGTTTTAGTTTTGTTTAATAAATATTGATATAAATCGAACCCGAAATTATAAATCACGTTACAGTATTAAAATGATTAGGGATATTCACGAATTTAAAAGAAGGTTAAAACAATAATAAACATGGAATCCTATTCCATTAACGAATTTTTAGAATAGTAGGTGCATGTAAATACATTAGGACGTATTCCTTCTTATGCATTGAAATTACTTCATTTGTATATAGTAAGAAATAAAGAAGTATAAAAAATATTTCTTTTTTCTGCATTTTTACCGCAATAAAAGCAATTCGAAGCATAATCGAATTCTTTTGCTTCCTGAACAATTTTTTTGTGTGCACTAACTCCTCTTTCTGCCTGTTTTATAGCTGATGCGATTACGCTGGGCCTGTTGATCGTTAATTTACAGGAATTATGAATAAAATCCTCTCGAAGTTTATTCCAGGTTTTACACTCAAATCATTTGCTTTGGCCGGTAAAACTAACGTTCTTATTGTAGATTTTAGAAAGTTTATCAACAGGCCCAATGCAATTGCATCAGCCATAAAACAGGCAGGAAGAAGAATCAGTGAACAAAAAGAAATTGTTCAGGAATCAGGAAGCAAGATAATCCGATTTTATTTCGAATTGCTTTTATTGTGGTAAAAATACAGAAAAAAGAAATAATAAAGATGTTTTAACTAGAACAGTTGAGCATAAGATAACAGAAGGCTATATTTAAGTAAACATTAAAAAGAAGCAAGAAGACAGATTTAGAAAAAAACATCTATTAACATCCAACACGTTGATTTATCATGTCAAAAACCGTGTATACCTATCTTAAAACTGTTTTTCCAGTTTTTGGCTATTTTCTCCAATTTTTGCTATAGAAATAATACTTTATTATTTTATAATAATAATAATAATAATAATAATAATAATACTCTTTATTTTTGTTTATTAAAATATGTCTTCCCGAAAATTTTTCTACCCCGCGCACCTATCTGTACGATGAAAAAAAAATAGATTTTTCGTCCCCTTGAAAGAGGTTTTTTTCAGAAATCGTGAGATCTCGGAAACTTTACTGACCCCAGCTATGTTTACTCGAAATTTCAAACCCCTACGACATTAAAAATAAGAATAAAATCGAAAAAAAAGGTTTTTTCGATTTTTCTACGAAAATTGGAGGTTATGTGTAAATAGTGTAGACACAAAAGTTGTTCATTTTTTATTCTCTATAACTTTTATATTGAACATTTTTTCCTAAAATTATTAGTTTTGTCACAATTTGCAAAACACCACTTTTCACCCCTTTCAACCTCCGCGGAAAAATTCAGCTGTTTTAATTATTTTTCCCCAATTTCTAATCATTTCACCAGCATGAAAAACTCGGTTAGAACCGACAACTAATTTTTTTTGTAAAAAAATATTATATAGCCTGGACTATAAAAGGTGAAATTTCTCCACATATATGATACATACATTTTTGCATATTTTCACCATCTTCTTGATGTTTGGAAGCACTTATTTTATTTTAATTTTAATTCAATTTGTTGATAAGCTAAAGCTGTGAGTACTTATTTGCAAAATGAATATAATTTATTTTTGGTTGTACTCGTATGAGATTTTGTGTATTTTTGATATGAAACATTTGCGATTAAATCGAATATATTTTTGCATACCTTGAATATTTTGATATTCTTTGCATTTACATAATAGACTTGCATATTTTGCATATTTTAGGATGTATTTAAATTTTGGTTAGATTTAATGGAATGTAATTTGAATTTTTAACACGTTTTTGCGGATTTTGATAACGGCCGCGATCACGAAACATACTGCAATAGCCGGAAGGAAGATTTATTGATTTAATTGATGTTTAATTTCATAATTTCCAAACTTTTATCTTTCTCTTTCTCTACGGTGTTGATGGGTGATGTTGTGAAAGGTTTGGAAATTGCTTCCAATAGTTTGTCGTTTTCTAATTCTAATGCACCTATTACTTTTGTTGATGTAGAGAGAAGTTTCTCTGCTTAGTGGTTATAAATTAATTCTTAGCGACATGAGGCAATCAATTCGTGCAGAAAAATTAGAGAAACATCTTATTGCTAGTGTTTATCGTAATTCCTTTTTTATTAGAAACTATGCAACATATATAATTTTACATATGTGTGCATACACATCAAAACTACTCATATTTTACCATTTATTGTGTATTAATACAGGTAGTAGAGAAAATTCGGAAAAAAATTTTAAAGAAACATTTTTTAAATTACTAAAAATTTCATTCGAATTTACCGAATTTGATTGAGGCCTTCGTGACTTACAAATTTTACCAAGTTAATGTTATAGGATTCTTTATGGGTCGAAACTCAGTCGTGCTCTGAGAAAAATTTAAAAAGCATGTAACTCGGATGCGTTTGAACATCTGGCCAATTTGGCCCATACCGTAAGGGTATAACTCCAAACGGATCTCTTTCAGCCATAAAAAAATTCAGTAAAGTAACACATGTTTTAAAGATCTTTTTGGCTTCGCGGTTATTTACACGATACCTACTATTCTGAACAAACCAAGAAAAATCGGTTTTCAATAGGATCCTATGTTGTATGTTGGTGGTTTTAGGTGTCGTTGGAACAAATTGGTCGAACATATGTGAGTGAATCCATTTCAGATAGCCCAAAAATAGTTGCTCATGAATTTCCTTTATGATATTTGCTGATAATGCTATGGCATTTAAAGAGTCAAAATCGGTGGTTACCTATTTAATTTTTTGTATGATATTATATTTTCTTGGGATTACCTACGTTTTGAGATTCGCCTGGCATAATAAGTAATTGAAAAAAAATTAAGATTGACAGTTCCTGAGGGTGTAGTCTTCATATGAGGTTACTTGTAGAAAGATTCTCTTTTTTAAATCCCCAAAAGATGATTTTCTTCAAATCGGAGTACGGTCATAATTCAAAAAGGGCCTAATGAGACAATATAATATGAGCTCGTATATCCACTTTAACTGAAAAAATAGCATGGGTTTGAACATAGAATTGAATTGAAGCAATAAACGACAAAAAGTAATTTCACAGAATTATGCTACCTTAAATTTCGCTACTTTGAACAACTTAATTCAGTAATCTTAACTGCGTAGATTACTTCATTTAAATTACTTTAAACGCTTGGGGCTTGTCACGCATCTCTTGCAAACGTTTCCCTTTCTATCATGAACACAAAAACGATGTTACATTACTGATGCGCACAGATCGTTTACAAGCGAACAATAAATAAGGAAACAAATGAGAATTTACCCAGTAGGTAGATATTAAAATATAGGTACATTTTAGTGAATGACCAAAATGAAAAGCTTACATTGAAAAAGGGGCAGTAAAATCAAAAATGTCAAAGGATCTCAACGCAGCGAACCAATTTATAAATAAGAAATTAAAAACTGTCAAGTTACTTTTCGTCTAGGATTTATTGTATCCAATATTGCGTAAAGAGTGAATTTTAATGAATACGGGCATGAAAGAGGGACCGACTTTATTTGAAAGATAACGTATACGTAGATAAAAAGGGATTCTTCATTCCCCTAAATTTAAAACAAAATTTATACTTCTGGAAGTGTCATAAAATTCATTTTGTACTCGAACCGTTCGAAGCCAAGCACCTTTGTATAATTTATCACATTTTAAACAGCTTTCAGCGACAAAAGTAAGCAAAGAAAGCCATTTATCGATTGAGCAAAATTACGGAGCTCGTCAAACTGATACCTAATGATAAGTAACTCACCCACTGTGCGCTTTAAGATAATTCCAGCAGCAGATTGGCTTCATTATTGCGTTTCTGCATAGCGAGAAGTGAACGCGTATTTCATTGTCTCAGTATGAATATGTCAGCAGTATTATTTTGAATTATTAAAAAGACCTTATTCACAGTGCCTCGCAGAAGAGAACAATGCTATGCGATTAATTAAGTTTGTATCTATACACAAAACTTTTCAGACGAAATGTAAGAACAAATTTGCGGAACTTAGGCAAATATGGGTAATCACGTAAATCCATCAGAAAGGTGGACAACCAAGAGAAAAATCTAATCTACGCTACACTTTCTCCTAATCGAAAAAGTTATATAGGTAAACTTGACCGCGGTATTCAATTAACGCAGGGTTTGCGAATACATTAGCCTAAAGGATAAAGATAAGTTACCTTTAGATAGATTATCGAAACGTTTGAGCGGCGATATTTCTTTTAACTTAGATCGAATTCCCATTCTCTGGTTTTTCGTAATTTAGGTAATGGCATAATTTTAAAAAAAGCCCTGAACACTTTATATTGTGTGAAAAATTGATTACGCTTTTTAACCAAATGCGATTTTTAAGAAGTGATGAGAGCATATTCAAATCTAACCAAAAAAGTCGCTTTTGAATTCAGGAAACAAAGTTTAAGAAATTCGCCTAAACAACTAATTAGACACATTACAAAAGTTTACGTATGGAAACGTCGTATAGACTTATGTCAAACAGAAGTTGCGACGAAAAGCACGACCAAACATTTTCGCCCGAACGTTGGAAAACTACTGTTCGCTCCAATGTAGAAGATCAACCCCCAACTCGATTATAACTGCGCGCATCCACCATTTACATCTCCTAATATCGAATTAGAACATAACAAAATTAATACAACCTGAGATTTTATGTGTAAAATAAATCTACTTTTCGTGCTAAATTAAAATAATTGTGCCGCAATGCGTTTTTTAAAGGTGCGTACACCAATGATTTACCACTGATACTTTTTGGCGTCGACCGAGGCGAAATTTGTTAATAAATCTTGTGTTGTCGGTTAAGTTTTTTGTATTTGGGTATAATGCGTTATTATACGGCAGTCCATCACCATTAGTGCAGTTCCACAGGCGTATACGAGTACATCATATACATAAATACAATATTTCACTCTGCGAATCTGTTATAAAATTCGTAAAACGAGAGGGTCGCCAGCGTGGATATTTCCAACTCATTTTATAAACCCGCAAAGCCATCTACAGTCGCATCTAATTTACATTACAGACGACAAGGGAAAAATTTATTCAGTTTTCCAATATTCCAATAATTTTTAAGCACATGGTGGGCAGAAATATGCCAAAAATCAGTAAATTATATGTAGAATTTTCAGAATAACATAGCTATAAAAATGTTGTGCAGTGCAGTATTTACTTGTTATTCATTCCTTAATTCTACAAATAGCGATTATCGTTTGCGCTAACAAAAGTATCACAATCCACCAAAACTATGTAGGTTGTTGGTATCAAGTCCACGACGCAATTTACGTTAAAAATTCACGAGCGGTATAGGTATAGGCATACTTTTTATTTTAAAATTATGGAAATGATATTGATGGCGTAATCTCTTTTTTTACAATTAAAAAATTGAAAGTACTGGTTCACCCACCGAGTTTAATTTTATTACACTTTACTACAGAACGTTAAAGCGAAAAAGATTTATCCAGAGCTTGGATCTTTAGCTCTGTAAAATTGAGGTTTTCTTCATATACCTACTTGCTTACAGATGTTTCGATAACGCCAAAGAATAACCTTTATGCCACGAAAATCAAGCATGCACCCGCGCTTCTTATTAAATCCTCACTTATACCTAACATTGTGTATAAGATTGGGTAATATTAGAAATCCCGGAAAGACGTATTTAAAACCTTTAACATGAGGGATATCTTTATAAAAGGGAAAAAAACGTACATGACGCTGTTCTCCTAAATTCAAAACCATTCTTTCAGTTTTGAGTCGATTTGGGCACCGACAAATTTGTCATCCAAATTGTACTCAATTTGTACCGTTCCAACATAGATTCTATTCAGCACACGTAAAATATAAATCGTTAAAACAAATTAGGTGGTAGAGGAAACCAAAGCAAACATACGTACTACATAAATAAATAAATAAATTCGTTGTTATATTACACAGAGAATTAGAAATAACGGTTTGAGGTAAATTTTTAGGTAATGCTCTTTTCTATTTCATTTTTGGTTCATATCCTGCTGTAATCTGATCTTGACAAAATTTTATATTTGGGGATCAATAAACACAGTGCAACCAATTGGAACACAGTTTTTGAAAAATTGAAAAACAATAATTTTAAAGTGATTGGTTCTGCAATGAAAAAACGCGATGTAGCTTTCGGCAAATAATTATAGTTATATATTTAAATGGACTGTAATTTTAATTAATTTTGCACTTACCCTTTTTTTATGACAATTCTTCGCCGAGAGGGATAAGGAAGAGGAATAAGATAAATAAGGAAGTAAATTCAAATCTTCAATAATTGTTTTGAATAACCATCAGTTCATTATTCACAAATTTTTTAATTGCTATTATTTAACAACAAACTAGCGTGTATACGAGATTTTAGAGATTGTATGAGATCAAACCGTACAGGTAACTTATTGGCACGACTGACTAAATGCAATTAACCTGTTATCAAAATTGGTGGGAAATAAAATATTCATTTTAACATGCATGTAAAAACCAAATATACGGTGATATTCATGTAAAAGCAGACAGGGATTTCCTATAGAAATTTCCTATGTCTACTTTTACATGATAAAGTCTTTTGAAAGACGCCTAATTTTATGCAACCAAAATAACTACCTACAACACATGAGGATCTGCCTGTCAGATTAATTAATTTGAATATTATCGCTTTGCGACTTCCGTATTCTAATTTCGGTTCATGTGCGATGTATTCAACTAAAGAAAAAGTTGATATTTCCATAGTGCCGATAACAGTTAAAGGAGCTTAAAAAGATTTATTTTCTGTGAATCTAAAGCAACAATATTCAAATTAACAATTAATATGACAGCCAGATGTTTATCTGTTTCAAGAAGTTATTTTGGTTGCAAAAAATTAGGCGTCTTTCAGAAGACTTTTTATCATGTAAAAGTAGACATAGGAAATCTCGATGTCTACTTCTACATGAATATCACTGTATAACCCTAATCAGAAACAACCAAAATGTAACATTTAAGAGATTAATTAAAGGTAAACTACTATAAGAAATTTGGGAGCAATGGCATAAATATACATAAATACTCACAAAAAAGAGAAAACATTAAAACAAATGAAAATGACAAAAAATTAATTTGCTGACGATTTCTTAAATGAATGGTATTAGAAATATATTCCTTTACTAGGGGAATTTGATTTTCATTTCTGTAAAGCAATTCTAAAAAAGTCCTTTTAAAATAATTAGATTCCGTACCACGTTATTTTGAATACGGTTTGTTAAATACGAGAACAAAATCCGTATTTTTTAGTTTTGGTAAAAGTACAAAGTGGGAAACTTTGTCGAAAGCTTTCGCGAAATCAGTATAAATGTCAGTTTGTACGCTTCCGCGACATCATTGTGAACTCGAATTAGTTTATGACAGTTGATTTACCCACAACAAAGCCGTGTTGGTTTGGAGAGATTAAATGTTGTAAATTTCTATTTTGGTGTTACAATGAGAATTTTGTACAACTGTTTTCGGCAAAAACAATGTTACAATGAAAGTAATGGTAGTATTGTTTTTAGTAACTTTCAATCTCTATGGTTGGCAGTTCGTACAGGTACCTGTACTTCAACGTCAAATCACGGGCGTATCATTTTCAAAATTAAAGCAACAGTTTACACAAACTAAGAATTTAAAGTTTCCAAATGTCAATTTTTAGTGTTTGTAAAGTTTTGGGATTTAACGACTCGAAGTTAAGGTTAAAGTTGGTGAACTGGTAACGTCAGGTTTAAATATCACTAAAAATAAGAAAGCGCTTAATTAACAAACAAATTGTTTGACCAATGGCTTACAAATTACTGAAGGTAAAGGATCCAAGAAGGTCCGGTATAACTAGGCAAAGGCTTCGACGAAAATTCGTCAGAACGTAGAAAGAGTAGCAACCCCTCTCAACGGAAACACGATACACGAAAGACCGCGTGGGAAATTCAAAACGGATGCAATTGTAAAACTAACATATTTTTATTAATGTTCAAAATTTCATTAAGAGACGAATTGGGATTTTTATTATAATGAGTGACTATTTCTTCAATTTCTTCATTTCTTCTTTCCGAAAAAAATGGTATCAGTTCAATGAAATGGGAATAAGTTAGAAACTGTTAAATATAGCTATAGGAACACATTATACTAAAATATGTCAATATCAAATGCAATAGTAAGAAAATGGTCATTTCATTAAAAAAATGAGCTCTTAATCTTTGAAATTTGGATCTTCATAGGTGCGGTCGTTCGCAACGTAACTTTAAGTTTAAGTACACTAAAAGAAAGCCCTAATTATAGTGCAATTTTATTGTGAATTCAGTGATTTAATATTTGTATACCTTACATAACAATTTTTATGAGAAAAATACATGTTTAGATTTATTTCATTATAGCTAAAATATGTGTGCTATGGACGAAACAAATTAAACATGGATTCAGATTTTAGCGTGCTCTGACCGAAATAATAGCACTATTTATGTTGTTTACAAATGCCAGTTGCTATTATTGAACTGCTATTCTTGTATGAATACGGGATAAGCTCCAATTTAATAGAAAAATGTATAATTTTGCTTCGTCCTCATTAATCAAACTGCAAATTCATAAAAAAGTATCACTTTCAACACTAGTTGTACAAATATTTAATTTTAACCCTCATTAGTAAAAGTAATTCGTATTGGTTTCAAAGTTTTGTTTGTTCGTTTTATATAGATAGAAGCAGTCGAGTAACGGCTCCGTTAACTTAGCACCACCATTTCAAATTTCTGACTAAAGATAGATTGCGCTAGAATCTCTATAGCTAGCGCTAGCTAGCGCCACTTTGAGTTCAGCTAGCGCCATTATAGATTTTGTAGAAAAACCCTTGACTTTCGGGGGGTGCTATGTTAACGCTAGCACCACCATTGCGTCCGATCACTTCCAAAAGAAAGCGCTGTGTTCGTCAGACCTAGCGCCAGCTAGCGCCAGTAATTTTAGAGCTAGTTTTATAATTTTGCGGTGTCTGTCCGTCTGTTCGCTAGCATGATATCTCGATAACGAATTGACCGATTACGATGAAATGGATGGATTCTTTATCAAATTTGTAGATCGGAGTTGGTGAATTGGCAATATAGCCCAAAAAATAAGGCAGGTCCTTTTGACGTCTCTGTGAGTTATGGACCGAATTGTATATGAAATTCAATATGATGCGTATAGCTTTAGCCATATAAAACGCAATTCCAAAAGTTGAGCCTAATCGATCACATTCACAGTGCCCT